TTTTATTGCTTTAACACTTGAAGTTAAGCATCTGTTGATAATACTGAACCAGTATAGCTGGAATGACGAATTTTGGTACTTGAACATTAAAACAAATTAAATTGTAGATAAAAAATCTTTAAAAAATTTTTTTGGAAGAATGTTTGTGACCATGTCATAAGAGTGGAAAACGAATTTTCGAGGGATCGGATACAACCATTTATAATAAATACGTGTGAGGACACAGATACCGATGAATGTTCTTCAGAGTGATTGATTAAACAAAATATTAACAAGTTGTTATAAGTATTTAAAATAGTTAAGTTAAAAGTAATAAAGGTTTTTTATCTACAATTTAATTTGTTTTAATGTTCAAGTACCAAAATTCGTCATTCCAGCTATACTGGTTCATTATTATCAACAGATGCTTAACTTCAAGTGTTAAAGCAATAAAATAATCACACAACAATAGATTAACATTACAGCTGTAATTGCTAAGTCTCAAGTGGAATCCTGCCATCCTATTTGAAATGAACTATACCGTGTATCGTATACCGTGTAGTGAAGGTGTAAATCGAGCGACCACAAATGACGTTTGACACTAATCATGGGGTTGGCGATTATAATAATGTAAAATAAAATGTAAAAATTATATTTGTTAGTTCGCATTTTTTGTGCTGCCATACCGTTCATCAGATTGCAGTAAAACTTTGTCAACTTATTGTTTGCACTTGCGCGAAGGTTATAGGCATAGTACAATTAACTTATAGTAGGTGGCTCGCGTATCGTGCCGACAAATTTATTTGTAAGTTATATATCAATTATTATTCCTAATATAACTATACAAATAAATAAAATTGAAGTGTCTGTTTGTAATGTCAAAATAACAGTTTTTTACTAAATGCATATGAAAGTAAATACGTTGCTTATAACTAAAATACAATTTTAAAAATTTATGTCTGTCTGTCTGTTTGTTCCAGCTAATCTCCGAAACGGCTGGACTGATTATGACGGGACTCACTGTCAAATAGCTGATATCATAAGGAGTAACTTAGGCTACTTTTATTTTAGAAAAAGAATTAGGGTTTCGCGCAAAAACATAAAAACCCTAACACGCGAGCGAAGTCGCGGGGAACAGCTAGTATAACAATATAACTCTTACAAATTTTTAAATTATATTTCCACAATTATTTCTTCTGCGGAGCAACGCGCCGGGTACCAGCTAGTAAGTTATAAATAAAATATTTTCCTGTTGTTCGATTAGGCTGAGAGTACATAAATTTTACGTACATACATTAAATATTACCAAACCAACGGATAGCCGAGTTAACTCAGGTGTTAACTCAATTTAAATTTATGTAAAACTAGTTGTCTGACTTTACACAGTTGACTTAATATCTATTTAAATCGATAGGTATCAGTTGGAATTATCAATTTTGGTTTCGCTAGTACTGGCAATAATTTAGGCAAAATAGATGCTAATAGACTATAATATGTTTATGGTAAACGTCAGCGTAACATTGATCCAGAGTACCTTACTAAGTGGAAAGGAGCACTGACCAATATGACTTTTGAACCCAGTTTAACAGAGCCAACATTTGTGCAAACACAGAATTGTTGTATTTTGGTGTTGGCTGTGACTCCGATACTGCTTCTTTGTCTGTCACATTAGGTTGTAAGTGAAGAGGCATTGCTTCTACATTTACCGTAGGTATGGTACTAGGTACTAGTACAATACTTTTTTAAATGTATATGGTAGAGGCACATTACAGCATATTATAGCAGGTATAATGCTGCTGTTAAATAAATAAATAAATAAAGATAGTTTATTCAGTAAATGATCATACATTAATTATAACCGCGGACGGGATCTCCTTTTAAGTATAAAAACTTGAGTTAGAAGACTCCGCTCTTCCATAGCACTTACATTAACTACTTGCATGACCTTTACATAGTAATTGACTATAAAAATTAAAATAATAAAACTAATAATACGCGCAAACGCGTGCGTGTGCGTGCGTGCGTGCGCGTGCGTGCATGTGTGTGTGTGTTACAAACAAATTACATTATTTTTCATGATGCTTAAAAGAGCCTCAGTATCATCACAGCTCTTATACAATAGCCATTTGGTTAGAGCATATTTGCAATTTCATTAATTAAGGTGGTAAATATTTGTTTTTATTAATGGCGTTGTATAGAGTCACAGACTGTTTTACATATTGCCTCCTAGCTAAAGCAGTTTTAACAGTAACAGCTGTGGCTGCTACGTTTCTCCTTCTTTTGGCTACAATACAACGGTCAAACTTTATACCTTTATGCAGTCTTAGTACAGAATATAAGATCTATTTTCCTAACAGTGAGTACATTACTTATAGCATAAAGATCTTCTGTTGAGAATCTGTTTGGTTTAAAATGTATAATTTTTAACAAATTTCACTGTGCCCTTTCAACTAATTTTAGTAGCACCACCCCATACAGGAATACAATATACTAAAATAGATTGAGCCGAACCAATATATATTTGGTAAAGAAAATTTTTCGTAGTTATATTTCTAGATTGAGCCAAACCAGTATATATTTGGTAAAGAAAATTTTTCGTAGTTATATTTCTTAGTATTTTAAATATCCAAGTAAGTTCCCTAAGTCTATTCATGATTAATTCAATGTGTCTATGCCATGACAAATGTTGGTCAACTGACTCCTAGATACTTGGTCTCGGAGACCTTACTAATTAATGAATAGCCGCAACTAACACTTAAGGGATCATTGCATGTGTGAAGTTTAATTTGGAAATTGATGTTAGGTTGAGTTCGAATATAATTTGTTAAATATATATAACTGGTTCTTAAAGTATTTAAAGTAAGTAGGTTAAAGTTACGCCACTTTGCGATCCTCGCAAATACTTCTTTAGCAGATCTACTTACAGAATCCCAAGAGTCCCCAGTAAATATTACTGCAGTATCATCTGCATAGAAGATTATGTAGCCTTCTTTAATGTCGAAATTAGTTAGATTATTTATGTAGACTAAAAACAATGTAGGACCCAGAATACTGCCCTGTGGGACTTCAAATGTCTGATTCCTCGTTTAAGTATTTACCTTAGTAGATGCCAGGTAAAACAGAAATGGGTCGATAGCTACCTACGATAGCCATCCTTGTACACGGGAGTTATAACTGCTTTTTTAAGGGCATCTGGAAAGATTCCCTTAAGGCCGGTCTCAATTCCCTACAATCAGTTATAAGTAGATAGCTATCCAAGCTAAGCAAAAACAGTTAAGTTTAAACTATCTGTTACTGTCGTCTCAATATCGTGATGTTCGAAAGCTTACTAGAGATAAAAGACAGATAGCTCATAATAACTTTGGTTAATGCGTCCCTCCTAAGCGTTTTGTTTTTCCTTCAGTGATTTTCGTCACCTTTTATAATAAAGTATACATCGTAATACTTTTTTTTTAAATATTATGATTATTATATAATGTTTTCAATTATTGTAGTTGTTAGTTTTTAATATAATATTGACAATTATTTTCGGAAATAGATATATTTCAAAATTAAGGTTTGTATTAAATAATGATAAAATTATAAACGAAATAACGAAACGCAGCGCTTGGCGTTCGTCATTAGCCGGATACCCACCTAGCGCACAGGCTCGCGCGGCAGCCCCGCGAGCCAATGCCTCGGCTGATGTGGACGTGCCTCGGGCTGCCTCGGGAGCACATTGCCTCGGCTGAGCGCCGCTCGACCGCGAGCCATACGTTGTCGGTAAACTTGACGCGCTCAAAGGTGCCTCAATGTTCGCTGTTCGTTTGGTGTGTACGGTGGTAATTTGGCTCGCGAGGCTATAGTGTTTGTTTTAGTTTTACTGAAGTCTCATGAGCGATCAGGATGAGTCGATAATTAAACTGTACGGTACGTACATGATGCTGTGGGGTCCAAAAGACTGTTTTCGTTTTTTTAAACAATAAGCAACTAGAAAAGTAGCTGCAGCTGCTCTCTATTTCCGATGCTCGAGGACTAATGATGGCTCGGCCTGCCTCGCGAGGCATGCCTCTGAGTTCCGGACAATACTATTGAAGCTGCTGTGCGAGCCTGTGCGCTAGGTGGGTACCCAGCTATTGACACTTGTTTGACTTGACAGTTTGTGTACACCACAACCAAAAATCGATGAGCTCAGCTGAAATAACTTATAATTAAATTTTGATATTCCTTTATTCCTAAAATGTTACTATAATTGAAATTGATGTTTATTGTTCAAAGTAATGTTGGGTGGTATATTTCGACCATACATTATGTAAAAAATTTTGTTTACAAGTTTCTTTACTCACCTCGAAGAAATTACTTTTAAGGTTGATGTTAATTTCATTAATAATAACTCATCCACGGACGTTTTATTTAATCTGAATCTAAATAATATGTAAACCAGAGTCAGAAAATGCACGTCTGTATTCGAGTATAAACTCAGCTGTTTTCAGTATCTACAATACCTCCGGAATCAAAAACACCCATCTCAAACATTTCGTAATCACTTTCATCACTGAACAAATCGATATTAAATAGGTTTTATTTATTTAAAAACACTTATTTCTATTTATTTCTAATTACAATGATTGGTGACTTATCATCTCTCCTGATATATACTTTACCGTTTGCGGTCCAGCAATACTTATAAACCATGGTCTTGGCCAACTCTCTTGCTAAGAAGTACAAGCGAGCTCCTTTTGCAGTCAATTGTTCGGAAATGAATATGGGGCTATCTTCGTTTTTTGTAAAGCCTAAATGTTTGGCACATAGTTTTTCTTTGTGTTGTATGTTATGTTTGGTATAATGAATGACCAGAATTTTTTTACTGGTTACAAGGCATTCCATCTTAGTTCTCAAAAGTTACAACGCATCTACATTTCGATTGTTATTGGATAATAGCTATCGGTGTCTATAAGCCACAGCATCCACACCAACAGGTTCTGATGGACTGCGTGCTCATTTGTCACCCTTAATTCTATAAAAAAAAATATTATTCACAGATTCGGTGTGTTCGAACAAGCGAAACTCTACATGTTGACAGAAAATGGTACGCTAACAAACACTGGCAAGTTGGCATGCGGTCTGGCAGCTGGTGTGGCCGAGGCTGTGTTCGCGGTGACCCCCATGGAGACTGTTAAGGTCAAGTTCATCAATGACATGCGGACGGAAAAGCCGAGGTATAAGGGTTTCTTCCACGGCGTGAGGACCATTGTGAGGGAAGAAGGTGGGTAGTTAATTAATTATACAGTTATTGTTCTTCGCCGGCAATTGTGTCCCAGAATTACGCACAGTTTCCATTTATTGTATATTCGATTTTTAATCGGAGTATAAGCCACTTCTCACACAAGTCGGATTGAAGCTGAAGCCGATTTAAGCTAAACCATTTCTGTATTTTACAGAAGTCTGATAAAACAATTTTTTTAGTAAAACCAATCCGAACGAAATATTTTCTTACCTTTCTACTGATTAGTGTGAATTCTACCACAGTAGCTCAAAAGTGAGCGATGTTCGACACGACTTATCCCCATTGGGCAGTCTTTGTTAACGTTAATAGGTCCATACAAAATGTTTTGCCATTACAGCTTTTGCCAGGTTCGACATTTGACAAGTAGAAATGGGCCGCTAGAGTTCGAAATTGGAATTCAACTTTGTCCAACAAACTAATAAAAGTAACATATTATTATATACTTTTAACAAAAAAGACGTATTACCTTCGTCCAATTCCTAAGCACACGCCTCCTCATATCTAAAAGGGTTTTGTAGCAGGAAAAACTCCGTCACGCAATTTATTAGATCTGCTGGTTTTCTCATGATGTTTTCCTTCACCGCCAACCACGTAATAAATCAGCATTTTAAATTCATAGGTGCCAGCGTGGCTCGACCTTGGGTTGTCTTTGCTCGCGTTCTATTTATCACCTGATATACCAAGACTCACACTAATATAAATCTATTATAAGTTAGTAGCATTTTATTTTTGCCTGAAAATCTAATCAAATTAACTTCAGTTTCAAATGTTTCCAATACAATTTTAGAAACTAAAATATCATATGGTCCCGCCGTTGCATCATTGACGTGACTGTGTTTATTTTTGTCTATATTTATCGGAGAGAGCTCGCTCGTAGATTTCATTTTCATATTCATTTGATTCTATTAATATTTCTTCTCCCCTCTCAATTTTTTTTTATAGAATAAGGGTGACACGAGCACACAGTCCACCTGATAGTAAGTGGATGCTGTGGCCAATGGTATATCCCCAATTAAGAATCAAAATGCAGATGCGTTGACACCCCTGACGACTAAAATGGAATGCCTCCCGTAAAAAGGTCTCCGGTTCTCTACACTCACCATACAAAACACAGCATCATTAAGCTTTATTTTATTTTACGCTGGTATTCTGTGAGAGCGTGGCCCTACCACCGTCGAGCAGACCCTTTCGTGCTACAACTCGTGGCTCCACCTTGTATAAAAATTATACAACTTACTTAAGTAATTTTTAAGTTTAAAAAGAAGTGGATGATTGTTAAAAATTACTTATATGTGAGAGAATAACTCCATGTTTTTGTAAATTTGACGTGGCTTTTTTGTAGGATGTGATTTAGCCGCGCAACTAGATTGTCTAATGAGACATCAAACATGAGCATTGCGGCCGCGCAATTAGTTTTATTGTATGCATAGGACCCGCGTGGACTTATACTTAAACATAGGGGGAACGCCTAGGTATGGCTACTCCCCTCCGATTCGTCCCTTTGAAATTAAGGCGAGGATTAACTAGATTAAGATGTTTTGAGCGCTCCTTTCTCCAGCACGAAGTAAGCGTGCTACATTCAGTGGACAAAAAGTGGTTTTATATGAAACTTTTTTGCATATTATCAGGAAATAAAGGATCTAGAAAAAACATATAGCCGTTTAAGTGCCTAATTCTATAAAACTCCTATCATATTATCAAAAATATATGATTATCGCTTAATAAGTGTTCCGATATTAATAAAAATAATATATAATGATTTCTTATATTTACGCGAACACTACACATTGAATAAAACTATTTTTACGGATTTTATCGCGTTTAATTAACTTATTTTATATTCCCGACGTTTCGGTTGCTTTCCAGCAACCGTGGTCACGGGGGACTGAGGTGATTGACGTCCCGATGTCAGTGTTAAACCGGAGTACCTTCAGCTTTTTTAATTAATAATTTTGGTCCGATCTACGCAGAATGAACTAACTGTGTCTTGAAGTCTTGCAGTGGTATGCTTGGGTTTAGTTTTAATTTTATGAATTACAGGATCCCAAGCAGGTGGTAGATCCCAGCCTCCCTCTCTATTGTAATTAGGATCTTTTTTAATTTCAATAGCCTCACGTATCATCCTTGCCAGGAATCGATGTTCTTTCGTGAGAATTTGTGGTTTATCAAATCTAATGTAATGGCGGGGGCCGTCTAGGATATGATCACAAACTGCAGACTTCCCGGAACGTTGGTGCTTCACGTCAGCTATGTGTTCTTTTACGCGGGTTTTTATAGATAGTTTTGTTTGCCCTATATATGAAAGACCACACTCACAATCAAGCTTGTACACTCCTGCATCTTGTAGAGAAATATTGCACTTGACGGATGGTAAGAACTGACTAATCTTCTTCGGCGGCTTGAAGAAAGTTCTAATAGAAGCTCGCTTCAAGATGTAGCCAACCTTGTCTGTGACACCTCTGACATATGGTACTACAGCAGGCACACGCTCGACTGTGGCCGGCTTCACACGGTCACTGTGACGTAGGCGCGGAAACCGGAGCTTGTTGTCGTGCAGAACCTGCTTGACGTGCTGAAGCTTGGCGGCCAGGTGTTTGCTGTCACAGATCCCTCGTGTTCTCTGTAACAAAAATTTGGCCACGGTAGCTAACTGTGAAGGGTGATGGTGGGATTCATCATGTCAGAGGTGTCACAGACAAGATTGGCTACATCTTGAAGCGAGCTTCTATTAGAACATTCTTCAAGACGCCGAAGAAGATTAGTCAGTTCTTACCATCCGTCAAGTGCAATATTTCTCGAAAAACTAGCAAGTTATTAAACATTTTCAAAATAGTACCCATTTACATCAATACATCGCTGCATTCGATGGAACCACTGAGAAAAGCACTTTGCCCACTCGGTCTTAGGGGTCTTTTTCTTTTGTTTTCTAATAAATAAAAATCGCAAGGTGCGGTCGCGGCTATAGGGCGTGTGACCCAATAATTCCACGTCTGACGTCGCCAAGTTGTCGATTGTTTGTTTGACGGTGTGCGACGAGGCGTTGTCGTGGTGAAGGAGGATCCTACTGCGAGGTCGTTTCTCCCGAACTTTTTCCAAGACAAGTGGCAAACAATTGTTAGTGTACCACTCTGCAGTAACGGTTTTTCGATCCTCTAAAACAATTGTTGCGTAATGACCTATTCTTTCGAAGAACAAGGCCACCATCTTTTTTCGCTCACTTCGACCTGTCTTCACTTTAGTTGGCAACTAATCGGAAGGAAACACTCAGACAGCAGACTGCCTCTTTTCCTGAAAGTTTCAGGATCATAACAATAAATCCAGCTTTCGTCACCCGTAAATATGTCGAACACAGCATTTGAGTCACCTCCGTTAAATTTTTGAACCATTTCACGACACCAATCAACACGACGGAGTTTTTGGTCCTCTGTCAAATTATGAGGTATCCACCGGGCACAAAGCTTCCTGACCGCTAAATGTTCATGGAGGATTTTGTGCACTTGACTCATACCGACGCCTAAGCTTGTCCGAATCTGCTGATAAGTCACTCTTTTTGTCAGTCTCTATCATACGCCGCACAACACTTGTATGTTATCTTCAGTCGTCGCCGGAGAAGGCCGTCCCTCACGTAGATCATCGGTGAGATTAGTGCGACCACGCTTAAACTCATTAAACCAGTTATAAACAGTGGCACGAGATGGGGCTTTATCGTGAAAGACCAATCGAAGTCTATCATAACTTTCTTCTTGACTTTAAAGAAATCCAAAGTCGTAAAAGATCATTGTACGAAAATTTTCTCACGTTAAATTCATGCTTACGTGACACAGACAATTTTCAATTTGCCGTCAAATCGTAAACAAATGACAAAGTAATAAAATACATACACAATAATATTGGCAGAGTTCCATTTTCAAAATTTGAATTTTGTTTTTTTATTATATCGTTTACAAGTTCTAAAAACTTTCAGTGTCGCCCTCGTAACAAAACGTGGTTAAAAAACCAGAACTCAAACTTCAAGTTTTTATTGAGTATTTCATGTTTCATGTATTGTTTGTATTAAAGTATTTCATGTATATTGGTATCAATTCCTAAGCGTCTGGAATACGATATTTTTGTCTAACCAGGCCTTTATTTCTCGTGTCGCCGCCTTTGATATTAATTCTAGTGTGATCTCTGACATTACTTCTAGTGTAAGTGTAATATATATGATATAGTTATTCTGCTAAATATTTTAAAATTCTTTAGTTCCCTTAGGATTCGTTTTTGACGTCAGCGAATCTGGTTTATGGCACCATCACTGATCAATTAAACCACGTGAGGGTAGAAAGAATCGCGCATCGTAGTATTAAAGCTCCTCTCATACTCTCCTCACGTCCTCTGTGACTCCCACCTCTGGGAGGTTGCGGACTTGCTCCCTTGCTCCAACACCCTCTCAGAACTAAAATGAGGCTTGTGCCCAGCTATATGACGGATACTAAGCTTTTAACTAATTTTTTTTTTAATATAAATACTTATGTTATAATGTCTAATTCATTCGTTTTCTTAAGAACACAAAATATTTTTGTCCAGATCTTTCCAAATAATACTTCATGCATTATCATCATCATCATTATTATCAGTACATCCCAGCCTCTCACATGTTCGCTGTTGAACATAGGTCTCCTTGAAGAATGCTGTAAAACAAGATTCAACAACCCACATGTCTTACCAGGTTGTTATTCCATCTAGTAGTTTTGTCTTCCCTATCGCCACTTCAGCTCACTTCATCCTTTAAACTTGACCCATTGATCTGTGCCGGTTACTCAGGTTCTACTGCGGAAATCTTATACCTTGAGCATGTTCAGTCTGAATCTATTAAATACTATATTATTGTTTATTCTAGGTATCGGCGGTGTGTACAAGGGAGTCACAGCGACTATAATGAAGCAGGGCAGCAATCAAGCCATCAGATTCTTCGTGATGGAGTCGCTGAGGGACTGGTACAAGGGCGGTGACAGAGACAAGCATGTGCCTAAGTACATCGTCGGACTATTCGGTGGTGTAGCAGGTGAGAATCTCAAAATAAATAACTGATGTGTAGCCCTGCTTAGCTTGAACTTGACTTAACCGCAGATCTGGCCTAGTCGCCATTTTGACTAACGCGATATAAAGATTCCATTTTTTAAATTGCAAATTTAATATTATTAAACTTGGAGTCAAATAATAGTAATGTCCTCCAGACCGTATTTTGGTCACGGCGGCCAGCCTCAACGGAGACTAGCCATCGGCGCAGGACAGGATTATAGTGCCCAAGTGTATGCGCAAGCACAGGTGCACTCTCTGTTCCCTCACTCTCATAGTCCGATGGAATAGTAACCGACACGAACGGAGAGAGATCATAGCTTTACATGCTTTCCGAAGCACGGAGGGAAACACCACCAATTTCCTGACTGAGGGTAATATGTGTTATACATTATTTGTCTGTTCGGTGGTATTGCAGGTGAGGAACTAAAAATAAATAACGGGTGGACATAATATGCTTAGCTTAAACCCGACTTAGCTTCAGAGCTGGCTCAACCGTCACTTTGACTAAGGCATTACAAAGCTACAATTTCGTAAATTGTTAATTTAATATTATTGAACTTAGAGTGTAATATGTAATAAACATTACTTGGGTACCTAAGGAATGTATTAAACATTATATACAAGTTATTAATAAAGAAAATCAATCTTGTAGTTGTAAAATTACCCAAATTAATAAAAATGTTAAATTTTACTAAAAAATAACATGTTTTTATCCAGGATTTTAAACAACTTCGCTAAAAACTAAAAAAAACTTATGTACAAGTTCATCCATTGTTAGCTTTAAAGTAGTATTAGAGAAAAAACAACTCACAGTAGTATTATTACTGATAGTGAGTCAATTTACAAGGCCATAGACATGAAATTATTATACTGCCATCAGTTCTTAATATGTGTGCAGACGAACGGAAATGGGTGCAAATTGAATTCTAATATTCTATTACATTTATACATGCATACAGGTCAAACTGATAATAAAAGCGTGTTCAAAATGTCATTTTCCTTTCGTTGAAAAATTTATAATTAGAGAAAATGATTTTCTGTTTTATTTTATTTTTTCATAAAAAACGTTACTTCCGCACTAGGATTTTCTCCTTTATCGTGGAAGCAGTTTACACCCATAAATTGCACAAGAACAAACATCCAGACCGGGAACAATTATTTTTAGGCCATACAAATACTTGTTTCGTGCAGGATTCGAACCCCCGACCCGCAGCGCAATCATAAAACAATTCATACCTCCAATATTTATATAGCAACACTAACATCCAAATTCAAATAAAAAATTGTCCTCAGGTGCTGCGTCAGTATTCGGTAACACGCCGATCGACGTAGTAAAAACACGCATGCAAGGTTTAGAGGCTGCGAAATATAAGAACACTTGGGATTGCTTCATAAAAACATGGAAGCACGAAGGTCCGCTTGCCTTCTACAAAGGTACAGTGCCACGGTTAAGTCGCGTCGTTTTCGACGTCGCAATCACATTCACTATATACGACAGTATCATGGATGTATTCAATTACATTTGGAAGTGAGATTGCCTAGTACAGGATAATTGCAACTTTTGAACGGGTAATACAGTAGTGGTTTTCGGTAGTGTGAGACGATCGAGAAATATAATCAGCCGGTTTGATGACATAAATAAAACAAGAAAAATATTTTTGTGTGTTTTGTACTTTTCAATGTCTTATAATTACGAAAACAAATAAGGATAGAATAAAATTAATATGACCACTATATGGCAAGACTGTCAGGCAGACATTACTTGAAAATATTGTAGTGGCCGTTTATTAGTTGCAAATAAAAATGTATTGCTAGTTTTGGTATGGATCTATAATAAATCCGAAATAAGATGTACAAATAGTTATGAAAGCGTAACCAGTTCATATACTTGGTCATGAGCAATCAGTTTTCTACGTAACACTGAAAATATATTTTTATAGGAAACTTACATAATATGTAAGTATAATTTTTCTATTGCTATATATTTATTATATTGAAATTTTTTTTTTGTTATTCTTTCATTACTTATTGCTGATAGTTATTAGCTGGGACTAATTTATTATTGATTATAATTGTTACGAGTACTTTGAATATTTATTTTGGTATTTTTTTAATTTAATAACGATTTTTTTTGTTCTGACCATAACAGTGTTGATAATGATAATTTTATTTTAGTTATACAAAAAATGACTAAGTACTCGAAAATATGTTTTTAAGATTAATGTATCGACTTCAGTTTCAATTCTTTCATACTTAACCACACAGAAAGATATATTTAAATATTAATCTTTGCGAGTGTGTGTTGGCTAATTTTTCAACTACGAATTTGTTATTGGCAAATACACTAAATGTCCTAAACCGCCCCCCCCCCCCCCCCTCCCCCGAAAGCTTAGTTCGTTTAGATCTTATCGATCTTATAAATGTTCCTATCACTTACCAATATGTCATAATTTTCGTATTAGTGTTATCGTTACTTTTATTATTATATAAATATATGAATGTATTGATGTATAACGTAACGTATCTGTGCGACAATTTTTTACATTTTGCTATAAACTGTTTCAAAGGTCTTATGTCTAATATTACTTTGCCACATAAAAATATACGCAGGCTGTGTTTATACGAGTTTAGTTATTAAAAAAATATATCGATGGTTTTTTTTTGTAATTTATTTACATCATACTTATTTCATTCCGTTATTTGTTACTTGTACTGTTAAAAATAATATTGTGTTCTAAGATTATCTTCCAGAATCATTTATATTTTTATGAAATATTTTAGTCATATTTTTATAATTGCTTTTATAATGTGCATTTCCGTTATATTTTTTCGAATCTTAGTTAAGATCTCTTATCAAAATTGATCATAAGAATACTTTATATAATATTTTTACGTATGAAGGATCACAAATCTTGCAATGATATTGCTAGATAGATACATCCACGCCACACCGATTTAATTTTTTTCTGCGAATAAAATATAAAAATATGAGTGATAGAAATTTAATAAAATATTATGAGATCCTAACTTCTTTCCACTTTCTCTTTCTCTATTCTATTCCGAATTATCAATGCTTTTATTCGAATTAATTTAGTATAAAATATTTATTGTGCTTTGAATGTTGACTTTGTATTATAATTTATTGTTTTCATTTAAATAAAATTGTCGAATAATTCTTGTTTAATTTAAAAGACATGCCCGAATACTGAAACGTCCCTCAAATATTTAACGGCTTGTCAAACATTTGAGCAGCTCCTAAACCCTATATTCGTATTCTCATATTTAAATTTTAAGTATCTCTTAAATTTAAGTGTGTCTCAAATTGAGTTGCGCTTAAACACTACTCAACTAAAAAATGGTATACTGAAACATCACTCAACGCGTTTTAGCTGTCAAATCAAATGTCAAATTGATTTAAGTACTCGTTATTATTGAGTGTGGTAGCGAGGACTCTCAAATCTGTTAAAAGTATTTTTCAAGTTTTAAATATGTCCGTTTCGTCGTTATCTTCTCTTTCGGACAACGAAACGCCTCTAAGAAGTCGAAGAAATGATATCAAGCTTAACGCTTTCGAAAAATATGACGATAAAGAATTTCGTGCGCGGTTCCGCGTTTCCAAAGAAACGGTGTTGTATTTGGATTCTGTAATCGGCAGCACGATAAAACCATTAACGAAAAGAAATAGATCTTTGCAGCCCGTGGATCAAATATTGATAACCCTTCGGTATTACGCTACAGGCAGTTATCAACGAGTTATAGGGGACATATTCCACATCGAGCAACCGACTGTGCATCGAATCGTGCACAGAGTTACAGAAAAAATAGCGAATATGAGATCACTTTTTATAAATATGCCAACTGCTGAGGAACGTCTAGAAGTAGCAAATGACTTTTATGCAATTGCTGGATTTCCAAGAGTGATGGGTGCTATTGACTGTACGCACATTAAAATTAATTCTCCAGGTACATATTCTAATCATGAGCTATACTTATACTCCTACATTATCATATCTATTATTAATATGTTATATACCTACACTCATTGTTATTAAATCTTTGCAGGGGGAGCTCAATCTGAAAGTTTCCGAAATAGAAAAGGTTACTTCTCCTTGAATGTGCAAATGGTATGTGATGCGAAATTGCGCATAAGAAATATCATTGCAAGATGGCCAGGTTCTGTACATGATAGTACAATTTTTAACGACTCACCATTATGTGCCCAATTAGAGCGAGGAGATTTTACCCCTATGGTACTTCTGGGCGATAGTGGTTATCCATGTCGCCCCTATTTGTTAACCCCAATTTTAAATCCAAGGACACCAGCTGAAGAAGCATATAACCGTTCACAAATTAGAACCAGAAATCCAATAGAAAGGCTCTTTGGTGTTCTTAAAAGAAGATTTCCCTGTCTCCACTATGGGTTAGGACTGAAGACTACAAATATTCCAGCTATTATTGTGGCATGTGCAGTACTCCACAATATTGCTATTTTAAGGCAGGATGAAGTAGTTGAAGAGGATGATCCTTTAACTATTGTAGAGGAAGAAATTATGGTACAACCCAGCAATGAAGTAAATCAAAACTTTATTGTGAGGACACCATTAATAAATACATATTTTACTGGTTAATTTTTTTTTATTTTAAAATCAATTCTTTACAACATAACGAATAATAAAAACAATATTCAGTCAAAAGTTTGCTATATCACAGTGTAGATTCATGAAAATACAGTAACTTAACATAATTCTTCTATGTGTTTGTCACTGAACTCCTAAAAGGCTGGACAAATTTGGGTGATTTTTTTTGTTTGAGTCCCTGGATGGTTTAAATTCTCAATTAGATCCGTTGTTGAGATCCAGAAATCACCCATAATAAAAAATGTGACAATGTGGTTGTCGTTTTTTAAATAAAACTTTGATAGAATAGAATAGAATAATTTTTTATTCAATATTGATTATTACATAATACTTATTGAAAGTCATTTTAATTTACCACTGGTTCGGAAAATACCTCTGTCCTGGGAAGAACCAGCAAGAAACCCAGCGGGATTTTTTTTTCAAACATATTTCACTTAACAATAATTTCATTTATACAATTTTAAATGATTTTTCATAGAACCAGCATGGTGGCAATTATTCCCAGGGGTTATTTTCATTCATGTATTCCTTGATATTATAATAACCCTTTTTGTACAGTTTATCTTTAATAAAACTTTTAAACTTGTTTATTGACAAACTTTGAATATGTTCTGGGATGTTGTTGTAAAAGCGTAAACATTGCCCCATAAATGAATTACTGATTCTGTGGAGACTAGTAACTGGATATTGTTTTACTCTAACATGTAATTGACAGAGTTTCTGCTTAAGACAAAAAAGTATATCTTACATTGACCCTAATCGGACTCCTGCATTTGTTTTAACCCACATTATGCGGTTTACAATTATTCATAAATGGAAATAGTTTATAATCACCTACATTATTTATTACATCCGATGTAATTACAAACTTAAATATTATATATACTATAAATCAAATAATTATGCACTTATTTAATCAAGTTATGTTTAATAATAAGAGGTTTAAGTAAGTTTATAATTATGGCTGAGGACTGGAAACATTTACTAACAAAAGACAGATTATACAATGTCAGTCTTAAATCTAAATATGTTACAGTAATAAAATAAAATATTCATAATATAAACTAATTCTTTTTCCCTCTTGCAATTTAATAGTTAAATTTATTTATTTAAATAACATAATATACAATATTTTATTATATACAATATTAAAAACTAATAAAAAAAAATTATATTACATAGCTTCATAATGACTTGAAATGTGCTGTACCCCGCATCTTTCCCTGACACATAATCATTTATGGCCTAAATAAAAGCACTTTACTCTATAAATGAAATATTGTCACATTACTTCCCTGGATTTATTCCATATTGATAAAAATTGTATATAGTCTTTATGCTTTGACAATTGACAACAACGCCGCAGAAATATTTTCCTTTATAGATGAGTATTATGTCTGAAATCAAAAAATAATTATTACAATAACTGTCTTATGTATTTACTGAACTTTTTGTTGAAATTTTTGACAGTTGAAAATTTTTGACTAATAATAACTCTAATTCTTTTTCTGTCTGGAAGCTTGTAACCTATTTAATTTTAATTTTAAAATTTGTATTTCTAATTTATATTTATTTAGCTCCATTTTGTTTTTGTTTATTAAATATTTATTTTCAAATTTGGCATTTCTTAGTTTTGCTTTAAAATATTGTTGTTTAATGGTTTCATGAGATTTCCTTTTTGTTACATTATGTTGGTGTGCTGAAAAATGTTTATCTAAGGTTAATTTACAACTTTATTAACAAAAAAGCAGTGTTTAAAAAATCATATATGAATATGTATAATTTATATTATTCATTACCAAAAATATAATTTTTATCAAGATATTACTCGGGCTCATTAATGTCACATAATATATATTAATAATTTATTCCATAATGCACAATTGATGAAAAGTAAAATTAAGTCAATACCTTTTGTATCAGATGTTATTGTATGAGGTTTATTGCTGTTCTGCTCAATATAGTCATTTGATAAAAGTGTTTGATGGTTATCTAAAAATAAAAATTAGTATGAAAATCAAATATGTATCTAAAAAAACATAGTAATATAATATTTACCGGTATTGGCACTGTCATCCTTATTTACATCATTCACTGTTAAAATAGTTTCTATGTTCTCAGAAATCAATTCTGTGTCACCTGATAAACAATAATTAATTTAATTTCTTAATAAAGATCTAAATTCTAAAATAGTTTCTATGTTCTCAGAAATCAATTCTGTGTCACCTGATAAACAATAATTAATTTAATTTCTTATTAAAGATCTAAATTATAGAGATTAAACAAACTAACCAAAATAAAATGCAGCATCATCAAATGGATTTTGCAGTGGTTGCACCTGTGGAGCAACCATTGCTAAAATCTGAGCATCTTGCTGAGTTAGAACTGATGTATAGGATCCACCACCAGTAGAAGTTATTTCTTTCTATATAAAAAAAAAATTACTTAATAGGTACTTAATCAATTATTTTCAAGATATATGGCAATATATACCTTATCTATTGATGCCTTTTTTTGGGCCTCTTTTGTTTTTTCATTGTACTGTAATCTCTAAAAACAAAATGATTATGAGATAATACGAATACAATAAATCGTGACTACTTATATTTATGGTCTCCAAGATAAATAAAAGATTACATTTTCTTTGGCAACATTCTTTTTAGACCGTTGCTTTAGATTTTCATACAGATGTCGTAATTGTTGCCACGTTCTGACACTTTTTACAGCAACAGCGTTGTATTCTTTGCACACACAATCCCAAGCTTGTCGTTTCTTCAAAATAATGTGGGCGTTTGTCTCCTTATTTTCTATAATATGTTGATATCTAAAATAATATGTAACACGTGTTACAATATGAAAAACTTTTATTTAATTCGCAATGTAATAAAGGGCAATCTATTCGGTTAAAATAATTTATGTTTCATTTGACGATTTAAATATTTACTTACTTTTTTATCAATTCTAATAAAGTATCTTTCTCAGACACTGTGTAATTGCATCCGCGTCTCTTTTTAACATCCATATTTTACTATAATTTGTACTTAGCCTTTAATTGAAAGTTGCAAAATATGTTAAATATTAATTCGAAAATTTAAAAATCACTAGACGCGGTCAAAGAAACTGACATTGACAGCACATGACAGTAAGATTCTCGATTCGTTCTAGGACGATAGACAGAACGATTTTCGAAAAATTTTATACTTTGAAATGTCCTTTTTATACACAATATTTAAAAAAAACACATAAATCACATTCTAAATGAAAGTATTGTTAGGAGATTATTTTTGAATATAATTTTAAAATAAATCGAACATAAAATTATTTAAATCTTTTTAGATGATGTGCATAAAACGTATTTAAATTCAAATATCGTAAAATTGTCAAGAAGAACAAAGTTTTATAAATGAGTGTTACCATGACGTAAACATTTGAGAGCTGCTCAACTAATCAAGCCCTCAAATCACTTGAGTGATGTTTCTGTATTTCAGTTAAATTTGAGTGATGCTTAAATATAGGGGACCTTTAATAAAGTGACAGATTTAAGTTGCGTTTCAGTATTCGGGCATAAGTGGTTTCCTCGCTTGTGTAAGTGCAGAATATCCTCATAATGGCGATGCTGCTTCTTCCCAATCCACATATAAAACATGATATTTCACCATAAGTAGCAATGCCTTCATCAATCATCAAGGTGCACTGCGTACGGATATAACATTGTTGTGACAAACTAGCTAACATTCCACCTGATAGTAAGTGTTTAGACAACTGCAAGGAACTTCAAGTGACACACAGGCATCGTCATCACTGAGAACTAATGGCTCACAGCCTAGTAACATTGGCCATAGATTAATATTTAATACTGGAATACTGGTTCTCTACCATAGATTAACGTTATATATCGGTCGCAGCCAACTAGCTTAATTGGCCTTTCAGTTAGTTAATATCCTAGACATTATATGACACGGTCACCTTATTAATTTCACTTAAAACGGGACTGTCGCTGGTCTGTGCCTAATTATGTGCTATATTATATAAATTTACGCGGATTTAGGGTGGCCCCAGAGGCACCCCAGCCGCACCGTAACCTAATGTCGTTGATATTACAAGATACGTGCAATGTTATATTAGACGCATCGGCTGAATATCATTCAGGCCGCTAGTTGAACGGCACCGTTTAGTAATAACCGGCCGAGTGCGAGATCACTAATCAGTATTTTTCATAATTGCTATTTAGTGTATTCATATTAATTTGCTCCCAAAAAACAGTGTCATTTTTAAAGATTATGAATGTTTTGCTATTGTTGGAAAACAATATTTACATTGATTACAATAATTATTTCTTTACCTGACATCATTTTATTTCGGCCCGTAATAAAATTATGATGATGACTAATAAAAAAACGAATACTAGTTAAAAATGATTATGACAAGCTTTTTTTTATCTACACTATAATTGATTTAAGCTTATTATTGCACCGATTTGATTTAAAATTTTAGACGAGAGTATTTTTGTTTGTTATATTTTAGACTTTTGTTTAATTATTGTGAAATAAAGAAAAATAAGTAACGTACGTAATCAAGGATTTTTGACAACCCTGACACATATTTTCAAGTGTGTATAAAAACTTGAAAATTCGGAGGGCAACTTTGCCACAAGCGTAAACTTTGCTATTTGCAAAACACTTAAAGGAGCAAATCATAAACTCGGAAGTGTTGTGTATTGTATTATGAGGTAAACTTACCTTCAACCTTGAAGCTAAATCCTATTGTTTTCATTATAAACCTTGACCTGACGGTAAAGTTGCCACAAAGAGAGGTTAACTTTGCCATTTTCTATTTTTGAGTATTTTGTCTATTAAATGTTAATATTTGTTTAAATCACTAATAAATACCAAATATATGAGGAATATAATGTCACATTTTTCATACGTGGTAGAGCCATGCTGCAGTTATATTAGTAGTATAGTTGTAGCACGAATGGGTCGGCTCGACCGGGGAAGGACCACGCTCTCACAGAATACCAGCGTAAAATGGCAGCTTAACGCTGCTGTGTTTCGTATGGTGAGTGTAGAGAACTGGAGACCCTTTTTACTGGAAACAAGGCATTCCATCTTAGTCCTCACGGGTGACAACGCATCTGCATTTTAATTTGTAATAGAGGATAGATGTAGATGTCTATGGGCCGCAGCAACCACTTACCATCAGGTGGACTGTGTGCTCGTTTGTTGCCTTTATCCTATAAAAAAAATGTAACATTGATGCCCAGTCTGACAGTATAAACTTTTAAGTCCTTCCAAAAATGGCAAAGTTGAAAGGTTTCACGGTAGATGTATAGTTTGATTAATGTTTTGATGCAAAAACTGCTTGTGAACCACGACTTTTTAGGTATAATAAAGTAAACACAAAAAACAGTATGACCATATAACCATTTAATATATATTTATTATTTAACCACACGGGTATGTACAAAATATTATAATAAATGTATACACCTTCAAAAAACATTTAAACTATACCTAGTTAAAAACCCCATTTAATGAGCCGCAATAATTGATATGTAAATAAATCACAATTAATTAACGGAGTATAAGTTAAATTTACATTGTAAATTTAATTCCGATCACCAAGCACAAAGAATTTCTTACAACAACCTTTGTGTCTCACAGTAGCAGTAGCTGGCATCAACCTCACTCGCAGATACCTACCGCGATAAGCACTTACAGCGCGTAGCAACTTGAAGTCAGAAATCACCTATGACTGCTGCGTGCTTATGAGCACAGAGTAATGTTATTCGGAATTCAGAACGCACACTTTGATTTTATTTTCGATCAGACCTTACCTATTCTTACTTTATCTACCCAACAGATCTATGCAAGACATTTTTCTTGAAAAAGAATTTAACCATGAGTAATGATACAAGATAAAATAACGAACACACAACAAACTTCACCTCAGAAGTTATTTCACCTAGTCCGAGAACTGAGTATTCACCAAAATGGAATGCCGCAAAAAGTAAACTGCCGGTCAGATCTTGAACAAATTTATATGGGACCACATGAGAAGCACCAGCTTTCAAAAAAAACATCATCGAAATCACAAGTAACACAAAAAATACAGTCGAATTGAGAACCTCCTCCTTCTATTGAAGGCGGTTGAAAATTAATAACAATGTCAATACAAACCAAGAACAAGTCTTATTGTTATTTTTTTATACAACAAGTGTGACAAACGATTACACAATATGGGCCAATAATTATTCAAGTCAACAGATTTCGGTCATTATATTCTTTTAGTTACTTGATTAAGTCGTTATTATTAAGTTTAATTATAAGCTCGTATGTACTTTTTCTCTAGAACTGGGTTGGCAGCACTGACTGACGGATTGAAGCATAGACTTATAGTGAAGTTATAAGTCATTACGAGAATATTGTATTTTTTTTTCTATTTTGTGCCGCTGGTCGTTGCTACTGGTGATAACAGGGCTGGTTCTATTATCGCTCAAAGGCTAAGTGTAACCATTAAGCGAGGAAACACACCCAGCGTTCTTGGCACGATACCACGGGGGTGTAGGGCTGTATGGCAATTAAATTATTAGTTTTAGTTTTTCTTAATATTGTATATAATAAAAATTGTATATTATATTTTGTTCTAAGATAAAATTTTAATCTGGTTTTAAAAGTTCATGTATTAATAGGTTTCTACTGATGTGAGAAAACCTGTAATTTAGTTAGAACACGCAATCATTTAGATAATTGAAAGCTCCATTAGACTAATCAGAATTTTTTATAGGACAGCACACATTCCACCTGATGGTAAGTAGTTGCTGTGGCCCATAGACATCTACATCTATCCTCGTTTACGAATCAAAATGCAGATGTGTTGTAAAATGGAATACCTCTTTTCCAGTAAACAGGGTCTCCGGTTTTCTACACTCACCATACGAAACACAGCAGTGTTAAGCTGCTATCTTATGCTGGTATTCTGTGAGAGCATGGTCCTTCCCCGGTCGAGCCGACCCATTCGTGCTACAAGTATATTATTAATATAACTGCAGCATGGCTCTGCCATGTACATAATAAACAAAGATTAAATAAAAAATATTTTTGCAAAATAAGATAATAAAAAATATTTTCTTAAATCTCCACATCTATAAGAGGGAACATGGGAGCAAAACATATTTCAAAATTTCGCCATAAAAGGATTTCCCAAAGATCACCCGCCGGGCAAAAGTGTAGTATGGAGCTTGTTCTATACATATCTATGCCGACTTGTTTGAAAACTGATAGCGTAATGGTTCAGTCAGTTTTCTGCCGACTTCCAAAAAGGAGACGGTACTCAATTCGACTGTATTTTTTTTGTGTGTTACCTCATAACTTTTTACTGGGTGAACCGATTTTGATGATTCTTATTTATTTGAAAGCTGATACTTCTTATGTGGTCCCATATGAATTTGATCAAGGTAAGACCAATAGTTATTGAGTTATTCTTAATAACTTATATTGAAGACGGCTGTACAAAATTTTTAATTTTAAATTATTATCGCTTTTCTGCAGACTTCCAAAAAGGAGACTGTACTCAATTCGACTGTATGTTTTTTTTTATGTGTGTTACCTCATAACTTTTTACTGGCTGAACCGATTGCGATGATTCTTTTTTTATTTGAAAGCTGGTACTTCTCGTGTGGTCCCATATGAATTTGATCAAGGTCAGATCAATAGTTTTTTAGTTATTCTTAATAACTTATAGTGAAGTCGGCTGTACAAACTTTTTATTTTAAATTATGTGGCACGAAGACAGCGCCGCCAATATACCTTATAACTAATGCATTTTACTATATTTTCTAAAAAGGATAGTTTTTAAAGTTTTTAAAGGCAGCACCAGGTACACATCTGTGATTAATGTTATAACTGTCCACTATCTTCATTTCCTCTTCCGTCAAATCAAAATCGAATATGTTTATGTTCTCCTCGATTCTCGATTTTGTAAACGACTTCGGCACAACAACAATACCGCGTTGTGTCTGTAAGAAATTGTTAGAACACAAATTTATGCTACATAAGTTGACAAGGGACGCCTTAAACAGAGACAGTAGTTTATCGACCAAATCGACGATATATTGGAGATGGGCTAATTTAAGAGTATCGTTAACCGACGAGTATGTATACGTAGATATATGGATGTGAAAGCGAGAGAGGTATATGAGACATGGGAGTTTATGTTTCTTACACATTATCTGAATTGAAAATGAACTAGCTAAGATCCACATAATTAATTAAGATTGTCTTATCTAATATAATATAGAACACTACCCGCCCTCCCTCAATTGCGTGCACTATCCCCGTCACCACTAATCCCAAGACCACTACATTAGGAAGACACACCTGTTTCGCCTCTAAACGTGGCATCATCACGAGAAATAGACTCAGCGGTGGCTGACCGCGAAGTTTAAACACTGAGGAAGGGCGGAAGGTGCTCTTCTAACTAGGTTAAGTTAAAGTTACAGCCTATATACCTACGTCCCACTGCTGGGAACAGGCGTTCTCTCATTTGTGAGTTTTTAGGCCAAGGAAATGTCCGCCGCGCCGCCCCAATGCGTGTAGGCAAACTTCACATGTCTTCGAAATATTTTCTTTTTCAATATTTTTTTTCAAACTAGGTAGGATAAGGTAAGATATAACGTGGATATTACCTAATTAATTTTTAACATATTTAATAAATCAATTTCCGCAAAGTAACTCTCTTCCGAAGTTATCGCGGTTCACCCTGTTGACAGATGAATGAGGCTCTAGAAACAAACTACTGGAATGCAATTTCTATTCAGAAATGATGAACACAGATATCAACAGAATAGTGACTAGGAGCAACTCTTTTAAAAAAAATAAGAGTGACAAATTAGCATACAGTCTTCACCGGATGGTAAACGGGTGTTGTGACCCATAGACATCTACGTCTATTCTCGATTACGAATCAAAATGCAGATGCCGTGCCACCCCTGAGGACCTATTTGGAATGCCCCATTTCCATTAAAAAGGGTCTCCAGTTCTCTAAACTCACCATACGAAACAGCATTAAGGTATACTATTTCACGCTGGTATCCTGTGAAAAAGCGGTCCTTCCCCAGTATAGCCAATCCATCCACGCTACAACCATAAATAGCTCCAAGCATGGCTTTACCACAATAAGTAATACTATTACGGCGTTTGATTTTAAAACCTTAAAGCAAGCGTCAAGCGGCACGCGTTCCACTTCGAGGAATACAGCAGGCTCCCCGGTCTAACCATTCAAGTTCGAATTGCTAAGTTACTAATGTATCTAATACTAACCAGGTACCGTAAAGCAACTTGAGCGCGGCTCTTCCTGTATTTGTCTGCAATTTGCCCCAGCTTCGGATCAGTTTTAATTATGTCCTTGCCTATAAATTCGGGTCTTGCTTCCGAAATAAGACCTAATGGAGTGTAAGCTACGGGGACCACTGACATTTTTTTACAATAGTTGACCAGTTCATGCTCAGTTAGAGTAGGGTTTATCTGAAAAAAGAAAAACAATAAAGTTACTTTTCTTCTCTTTGGATTAAGCCGGAAACTGAGCAACAGAGACCGTATTACCGATAAACCTTCCATTTTAGTCTTCAGGATGACATTTAATTTTTATCCCGATTCTTTTTCAAAGACAGAATGGTGTCTAGGGGCCAGTCATCGTTTAACTATCGGGTGAATTGTGTCAAGCACAAATCTCTACAAAAAATGTACAGCAATGATTTTACCAAATTATATTATATTATTATTGAAGATATGTATTATAATTAAAAATAACTATTGATATTTAAAATACATGTATTTTTTTCAACAATTTGCTTAAAATGCAGCAAATTTTAAAACCTGGCAACACCGAGGCGGAATGACAGGACCGTATCTTTCAACGTGTGGCGATATTGTTTCCCGAGAGCCACCCGCGTCGCATGTATTGCAATGCAAGTTTCTCCATTTAATTCTATTTTATTTTATTTTTTACGTCGGCATTTTTTTTCAGAGAGTAAAGGATTACAAGACTAGATTCTTATGACAATGACTAAAACCACCCGGTTTTAGGCATTGTCATAAGAACGGATCGGACAGGTTCCTTTTACCAATTGTACACTGCCCTGTTAGTGGCCAAAAGAATGTGTAAAAAAACTAACCTCAAATTGATTGACAACAGGTTTGATAGTGGCAGTTGCCATCAGTCGGTCTAACTGCTGCGCGTTAAAATTGGAAACGCCTATAGAACGAGCGAGACCAAGTTCCACTGTTTTTTCCATTCCTCTCCAAGTCTCTGCGTGCTCTATTCCTTCGTCTTCACCATTTTCCTGTAAACATATGCATCATATTTATAATGCAATAATTGTAAACCTATTTTTTTTATACAAGTGTGACAACTATCACACAGTCAACTGTGTATACTGCCGATATAAGGCCAGAGCAAATACTGCTGGCTGTGAGGTATTCCATATAAGAGACAATGCATCTGTGGCCTTGTTTGTTTTAAGATGGCTGTAGGTATTCATTGGCTACCCCCGAACGGGTTCCAGCCTTGTCGTGGCGCCCTCGCCACCGTCGCTTGGTCACCCGCGGTGAACTAAGAGGAACCCACTTAAACTTCGGATATGTGTTGGTGGGTATGTGTAGGCATTTCCCCCATGGAAGAAAAGGTCTTCATTGACTGCAGTCGTCACTTACCATCAGTTGGACTATAATTTCGTTTCTAATGTAAGTAAGTCCCCCTCATGATCTCGTCAGGCTGGTGAATTTCTGCGAGAGAACCGGAAAAGAGGTTCATCTAGGATCGTGACGGACTACAACGTGCATCATCCCCTCTGGGGAATGGAAAAACCCAATGAACGAGGTAAGGTGTTAGTTGAATATCTATTTAGCACTAACCTAATCATTTTAAACACAGGTTCTAAACCAACTTTCATAAACAAACTTTGTCGCACAATAATCGACCTCACTTTGTTCCCGGCAGCGACACGCCTGTCCACATCTAAATCACATCTTCCATCCCGGCTAAAAGCACTCCCCAAGTATACAATTTCATTTACGGCAATTTCACGATAAGGGCGTGCTTCGGTGGTTTGGGCACGTTGAGCGAATGAGTGAAGACCGAATGGTGAAGAAAATATATAGCGCGAAAGTTAATATTAAAAGGTGTCGAGGTAGACCGAGACTAACTTTCGAAGACCATGTGAGCAAATTGCTCGAAGAGGGTAGGGTCAAGAGTACTCGGATACCTAGACGTGCATGTATGAAGAAGATAATGAATCTGAAAGAAGCGAAAGAGGTATGTAAGGATCGTGACCATAGACAGATCTGCTTCGTACTACAGGTCGTTTATATATATCCCTGCTACACCACCATGGAGAAATCCCAGCAAGACGAATAAGGTTGACGTCTTCGCTTGCGGGTTTTGAGGGGACAAATACTATAGCAAATCAGTCGCTCCTAGAAGAACAGGTAGTAGCTGTTACTAAAACCATGATGGATAGCTACCATAAATCAGATCCAGAAATCACTCCACCAAGGCATGGTGAGGTAAATCAACTGTGGTGGGGTAAAGAACTAGAAGGTAAGAAAAGCCCTAAATAGGGCCATGAATACCTCAATGGATGAAGACTGGCTACTATACAAGAAAACTAAGTCCAAATACAAAAAATGTATCAGGTATCGACGCTCGACAGGGTGGCGTAAGTTCTGTGGTAACATAGAAACCTGTGATCAAGCTAATACGATAAAGAATATCCTAGCTAAACAGAACATGCCGGGATCCATCTCTCTAAATAAACCTGCCGAAAGCTACTCAACATCGCCAGATGAAGCCCAACGCATGTTAATTGAAACACACTTCCCAGATTGCTGCATAACTCAGGAGGTAAACCGGCATAAAGATCCACTGACACCAACAGCAGAAAACTGGAATTTAGCACAGAGAGTGGTAACAATGGATAAAATCCATTGGGCCATTCAGTTTCCTCCCCTATAAGGCGGCAGGACCTGACGGTATATTCCCGGCACTAATACAGTGGGGGGGGGGGGGGGGGGGGTTAAAGCCCTAATAGTCAGACTTGATGCCATAATGAGAGCCTGTCTGGCTCTTAAATATGTTACAGCCTACAGCTTAGGTAAATCAACAGAATTGGCACTTCACCAGGTAATAACAAAGATTGAAGAGGCCATCCAAAACAAAGTAATATGTCTAGGTTCCTTCATAGATATAGAAGGTGATTTTGTCAAAAATAATGTTTGCAGCATAGAAGGTGTACTCAGTAGACAAATTTGAACCGGTACTGATTGACTATATAGTAAATATGCTCCATACACGAACAATAAAAATTTGCTGGTGAATCTCAAACAATCCATATTAAGAAAGGCTGCCCACGGGGTGGAGTTCTTTCATCTCTCCTGTAGAATATGGTCATTAATGAACTCATCAGCAATTTAAATGCCAATCACTTCTACACAGTAGATTATGCTGATGACCTGACAATACTGGTCTCTGGAAAGACAGCAAGCATGGTGTGCGACCTGACCCACGCGGCTCTCCATATAGTAGAGAGATGGTGCAGGGAATACGACTTAACCCTTATAAAACGGTCATATAAAACGGTCCTAGTAATGTTCACACAAAAATGAATGCTAAATAACTACCATCTCCCAAGTCTTATCAGCACAAAACTCCAGCTATCCTCTGAGGTAAAATATTTAGGTCTTTAGGCTGCACTAAAACTATCGGAAAATGAAATATTTCTACTGTTCCTGTCATAAAAAAATCTTTTTAATTGAAAACTCCTTGGTTTTAAAAATCGAATACCATTTATTTATTTAAAAAAAGATTCTCGGTCTTGTCACAAGGTTTTGTCAAACTTGTTTAGTCGTTGAGAAAATGGAATTGACTCGAGAAAATTCAAGAGCGATGATTTATTATGACTTTCGAAGTGGTTTAACACAAAAACAGTGTGTTGACCGGATGATTTCTGCATTTGGTGATGAAGCCCCATCCAAAACCACAATTTATCTCTGGTTTGCTGAATTTCAACGTGGACGTGTCAAGCTCAGTGATGATCCCCGTCAAGGTCGTCCAAAAACTGCAGTCACCCAAGAAAACGTTGATGCTGTTCGTAAGCTGATTGAGGAAAATCGACATGTGACATACCGCGAAATTCGGGCAACTTTAGACAATGGCATGAGTCAAATACAAATAATCTTGCATAAACAATTAGGTGTAAAAAAGTTGTTTTCCCGATGGATACCGCATTCGCTCTGTGAAGAGCAAAAAGCGGCTCGCGTTACTTGATGCGTCAGAACTCTCGAAAGATTCCACGCAGGATCCTCAAATGCTGTATACAACATCGTATCAGGTGACGAATCCTGGATATGCGCGTACGAACCCGAAACAAAAAACCAGTCACGAGTTTGGGTGTTTGAAAATGAGTTAAAGCCAACAAAAATTGTTCGTTCACGGAGTGTTGCAAAAAAAATGGTGGCCACGTTTGTCTCCAAAACCGGCCATGTTACGACTATTCCTCTTGAGGGACAAAGAACGGTTAATGCAGAATGGTATGCTAGCATTTGTTTGCCACAGGTCGTTTCTGAACTCCGTAAAGAGAACTGCAACCGCCGCATCATCCTCCATCACGACAATGCGAGTTCTCACACCGCACACAGAACAAAAGAGTTTTTAGAGCAAGAAAACATCGAATTATTAGACCATCCGCCGTACAGCCCCGACCTAAGCCCTAATGATTTCTATACTTTCCCTAAAATAAAGAATAAATTGCGTGGACAGAGATTTTCATCACCTGAAGAAGCTGTGGACGCCTACAAAACGGCCATTTTGGAGACCCCAACTTCTGAATGGAATGGTTGCTTCAATGATTGGTTCCATCGTATGGAAAAATGTGTCAAATTTTTTATGTCAAATGTTTATGCATTTCAGGCAATGCATAAACATGGTTGGCAAAAGATGTCAAAAATCATACTGTGGCTGTACAAAACTGTAATTCGGCCCATGATCACATACGGCGCTCTGGTATGGTGGACCAAAACAAATGAAGCAACCACTATAGAGAAGCTTCAGCGTTACTAGAGACTGGCATGTATGGCTGCCACAGGCTGCATAAAGACTACACCGACAGCAGCCTTAGAGGCGATGCTGGAGCTAATCCTGCTTCATCTACACATACAACAAGAAGCAACTTTAGCTGCTATTAGATTCAAGACTCTAAATCTTTGGAGTAAGAATAGAGTCCCTCATACAGGCATAATTGATAGAATTCACTTAAAAATTCCTATCTTACAAGCCAAGTATGACAAGATCCTTAAACAATTTGTATTCGATAATAAGTATAAGATACAATTAAATTAAACCAGCCGGCCAGAGGGATTAAGTCCAAAAGAGCTTAGAGTTTTCATTGATGGTTCTAAAACAAGTGAAGGTGTAGGATCCGGAACTTTTTCAGAAGACCTCAATATCCACATGTGTACGGGTATCATTCAAGCGGCCGTAGCACTATTGCTTAGTCTATACGCTAGGAAGGTTAATGACTTCTCCATCAGAATACTGACCAACAGTAGAGCGGTACTACAACCTCTGAGTTGCAATGTGGTGAACTCGGGACTAATATATCAATACAATCAACAATTAAATGAGGTATGTAAACACTGCAATGGATAAAGGGACACAGTGGATCCAGAGGCAATAATGCAGGGCCGGAACAAAGGAATCGGTAAGGAATTTGGTAACATTCGTTCACTGGTACGTAGACACTTCACTAATCAACATGCTCAGCTTTGAAAAATTTAGTAGACTGTAAACCAGTTAGAGAGGCTTTGTCTGCAATAAACAGTTGTTTAACCAAAGTTCTAATGAGACTGAACAAGCTGCAGATCAGAATAGTAACAAGTGCTATCACAGGACATGTCATCTACAAACATTTATTTACCATACGTGCTACAGATAGTCCCCAGTGCAGGGCATATATGGGGGAGGAAGAAACGGCGGCTCACGTGTTACTGACATGTCCGGAAGTCGCTGCATACAAGGCTAAACATCTCGGCACACCGTGATCACTCCCTGAAGTTGCTTGCAACATCAAAGGACTGTTGAACTTCTTCGGGGAGATATCTTGACTCGAATAATTACATTATTCCTGCCCACATGCAAAATACGCGCTTAGATGTGGAGTTGCGGAAAACAGCCAGTCGTAAACAAAACTGAACTAAAAGAATTATTTTCACCCATTATCAAGGAATCAACAAACGATATACTCATTTTCCTCATCTTCTTTACTGTCTATTATTATCATTAAATCAATACATAATACTCACATTCACAGATACTGGCCAATGAATGAGATACAGATCAACATAGTTAAGATTAAGCTTTGTTAGTGATTCCTTCAATGCTGGCACCACATCTTTCTCAGCATGTCGATCATTCCATAACTGTGAACAAACAAACTTAATGTTTAAAATTTTTCATTCACATTGATTGCTTGAATTTATTTCTTTGTAATTACTTGTAATTAGTTTTTTTATATATTATTGAAATAAAGTAATTAAATAATTAAAAAAAATTGAGAAAAAACATTGTATAAAAAACCTATACACAATTATAAAGAAGCTTTAAATATTTATTTATTTTTCTTTATTTTATTTTATAAAATGAGGGAGACAAATGAGCACACAGTCCACTTGATGTTAAATGGATGCTGTGGCCCATAGACATCTACATTTATCCTCAATTAAGAGTCAAAATGAAGATCATTGTCACCTCTGAGGACTAAGATAAAATGCCTAGTTACCAGTAAAAAGGTTCTTCTGTTCTCTACACTCACCGTACAAAACAAAGCAACAATTAGTTCCTACTTTACGCTGGTATTCAGTGACAGAGTTTGTAGAGCTGGCATTCATGCAGCCACAATATAGCTGCAGTATGTTACCACGTTAATTTAGTAAACTTAGGGCCTTTGTTGAAAATGATTCCACAATATATAACCAATAACCAAATAACTGAAATAGTGATAGTGCATTGTTAAACACATGCACACAATTAGGAAATAAACTAAGGTAATTTATAAATATGTCAAGAAATTTAATAAATATATGGTACACTAGCAACCCACCCCGATTTTGCCTGGGTAGGATCTATTAATGTGGCCTTATTCAGATTTAAGATAATCATCAAAACCATTTGTTTTGTTAATTTTTCAATTTCTAAAAAAATATCCAAGTTTATCAGATAAAATATTGTTTAGATCACAGAATTGATTTTGCCTTTAGTAGTCAGTTCAGCTCAATAAAAGGCAGTTATTTCAATATTACAGACACACTTCAATTCCATGTTTATGTGTTTAGATGTATAGATAAATGCACAACCTTACCTTAGTAGTAATAAATAAATCCTCTCTTGTGACTATGCCTTGCTTAATTTTATTATTTATTGCCTCTCCTACTTCTTTTTCATTATTATAACAAGATGCAGTGTCAATATGCCTGTAGCCTGCTACTATGCCCCATTCAACGGCCTGGCGATACTGCCCAGGTTCTGCTTTGCGCTAAGAAATCATATGTACAATTAAAGTTACAGCCTATATTATATATATCCCACTGCAGGGCATAGGAAATTTCTGAGAGGGTTTTAGGGCAAGGAAATGTCCACCGTGCTGCCCCAATGCATGTTGGTAAACTTCACATGTCTTTGTAATATTTTTGTCTTATTTCTCAGACATGCAGGTTTTCTCACAATGTTTTCACTTAAAATTAACACTTAAAATTGCAATTAACAATTTCATTGGTGCCAGTGGGGATCAAACCCAGGTTGCTCGCATACTGTGAAATTTACAGCGAGAACTTAGCCCCTGAGCTACTATACCTTATATTTATATATGTACAATAATTAGATTATTTTAAAGTTTTAAACCTTCTGCAATTATCATTAGACCTCATTTAATTTACATGGAACCATTGTGAAAGTAAACTCGGATGGTAAATGAATATTCTCTATAAAAATAGTTTAATTAATATCCTCGTTCTAGTTTTAAGGTTGATTGAATTTGTTTTCTCATACGACACATTATAATATTATATATGTGAAAATAACAATCTGGTAAGATACAAACAATGTACTGGTGATGGATATAAAATTGGATCAATACACGTTGCAATATATTTTATATTGCTACACCAATTGTTAAATAATACAATTTATAAGTTATTATCAACTAATATTTAATTAATAAAAAAAAATATATGCATAGAACAGTATAGGTAGCAATGACATATACAAATGAATTCACCTGACGAAGTTACGAAAAATTCAGAGACACGGAAAACCTGACAGAAGGCAGAAGTAGATTTGGCTAAAATCTCAAAACTCTTCATGATTGGCACAATCTTTGTTAAGAATAGACAAAGTATCGTCAACTTTGTCTACAGCTACTGTTAACAAAGCTTCTGTCTGCCAAGTAGCAATCTATCAATTATGGCAAATCCTATGCAGGGAGAGTAAGTTGAGGCTTTGTGAGGTATACAAAAGTTATGCTTTATTTGGCTATTTCGTGTGTGTTTATAGAGCTGATGATTTTCATTTGCCGTTTAATTGTTATGTAGTATTAATTAATTATGTTGTTTTATACAAAGCTACAAAAATGTAAAGGAGGTAGCAATGTGGGAGTTGAGTTATTTGGCCCGAGTAACTCATACCAAATCATAAATGAGCCAAATTGAGTTCATTTTAACAACTTGAATCAACTTGGTCCACAATCTACATACATCACTTTGCATCCCACTTTTTTTATATAGGAGAGGGGGCAAACAAGCATGCGGCTCACCTGATTTTAAGTGACTACCGCCACCCATGAACAACCGCAACTATGTCCAACTAGATATATAACCCACTTAGACTGATCAACCAATTCCAAAACATCTCAAATTGAGTTGAGTGAAATGCAATAGCATGAGTGTTGCATTATACACCCACATTGTTAAGCTCTTCATGTTCATACTGCTGAGAAATAATGTTGCCACTTGTCTGTCTGCTCATGCTTGCACACAAGTGCATCTAGGTAAATTAAGAATTAGGGATAACTAACCTTAAACTAAACCTAAACTAGGGAAGATGAGGAGACCAACTTGAAGAAGTTGGTGCTCCCCTCATCTAAGTTAAGTCAAGACTATAATATTCTGCCTTTTAAGATCCCTCATCTTATTAATTTGACTTTCTTTTAACCTACACAAATACTCCTTTTGTATCTGTGCAATTCCATTAGTGATGGGTCCCTCACTCATGAGTTGCCTCGTTTGAGGTTCTCGTGACGGCAAATCAAAAGAGTTACTCGAATTTTAACATTAAAACACCTCACTCACTCGTTCACAACCTCCCTTATGACTGACAATATGAATCATGTCCTGAGTGAGTGAGATTATATATTTTGCAGCAAAACTAATTGAGGGAGATGTCAATATTGAGGAAAAAGGTTATTAACCTTTTTCCTACTAACAACTAAAATAATTTTTGAGTACTGGAATTCGAAACAATCAAGTGACATAATATATGAGTGTGAATATAAAATCATGCGCAATTTTTTGTGATCTCGAATTTTATTTGCGTTCACTGATAATGCCTGTTGTAACACAATAATAATATTATAAATTAATATAATGAATATGGTAACAATATTTCCACCTTTCAAAAAACTTTTGGAAAGAGGCGACTCGCCTTGTGAGATGAACACACAGACTAGTGATTCCTCACCTCAAATGAGGGGTATCTCGTGAGTACCTCGCTAGGTAACATGAGCGATTCCTCATCCTCAAAAAAAAATAGATGAGTAACCCATGACTAAATTCCATTAACATTAATAGCAATAAAAAAAAAACAACTTGTATAAACACAATCTTCTCCTGTAAAAGGAAATACTGTGTGTCTACTTAGCTATTCAACATAATTAACACCAAGGAACATACTACTTTCTGGATTAACACATCACGGTGACATTCAGTTTCGGTTCATACAAAGGTACTCTGTGGTGACATTGACGAATGCAATAAAACCGTCATAAATAACAAGTAGAATCCTTTCTACAATGGCTGATGTCCATGTCGAGCAGTGAATTATTACAGGCTAATAATGAAGGAAAAGATAGCTAAAGTAAAGATTGCCTTAAATGATATCCAACCCTTGGTAGAAGTATTTCTATAGAGTGATAACATAACATAACGCTAATAAACTCACCGCATAAGTACCTAGACCAACTATAGGTATTTCAAATCCATTGTTCAGTTTCAACATGTTCAAAAGTGGGTTTTATTTCTGATTTCTTTACTCTTGTGTGGATTTGTTTGCGGGCTTATCAAATTTTATAACCCACAAAATACGAAACTAAAATCATAGGAGATTCTTCCAAAGTTATATAATTGTATGAACTAAATAAAAAAATACTTATTATCATAGATAAATAAATAGGTAGCAAGCTACTTATTATTAGGGATGTGAAAAAATAATCGATTTTAATATTAATCGATTATTTTTTTGTTATAATCGATTTTTCGAAGTCGATTATTTTTATAATAAAAATCGATTTTTAATAAATCGATTTTTATGTAAATTACGCGTTTCAATCGATTTTTTTAATCAGTCATCTGTGCGATGGATGTAAAAACGTGAAGTAAGTTCAATAATATGAATAAGTCAATCAAAAGACGGCGCCACCTTTATGTATCTCTATGTATGTAAAACAGTATCGCTTTTCGTATGTTTTCAACAGGTTTCTTCCTCCGCTAGGAGTAAAAGTATTCTGTGGTTTTCTTTCTTTCTTTGGTTAGTGTAAACAACTATATATAAACAATAAAAATGTCTTGTGAAACGCGTAAAAGTGACTGACAGAAGTATTTTATAATGAAAAAATGATAGCGGCTAACACGTCAATAGGCAAAAATACTGAATTGAATCTATATACGGCACCACTATCAAATCTCAAGGCAGATGCCCTCAATATATGGAGAAGCTCTGAAGGAACTTTCCCTAAACTAACCGAATTGGCTTTTAAACACCTCTCAGTGATGGCCAGTTCCGCGCCAGCCGAAAGATTATTTTTGAAAGCGGGAAATATTGTCAGGAAAAAACGAAACCGTATTTTGGGAAAGAGACGAAGAAGAATTTTGGTGAAATGATTGTTTTTAAAATCTTTAACTGAAAATTCATGGCAATATTTTTTTTTTACTTTTTTTGTTTACACTAGTGTAAAAAAAGATTTGTCTTTTATTTTAGTTTTGAGATCAAAAGGTTGTCGTCGGATTATTTATAATTATATTTTTATTATATTTTTATTTTATTTTCATTCTAATCCAATGTAAATGATACTGAACATTAGTGGCATAATGATATTTAGACTTTTTGTTTGTTCAAACTTAGTTTAAAAAAAAAAACTATCGTTTACTAAAATTATGGTTTCTTAATGATTTCTTATATTTACGCGAAGACTACACATTTAATGAAATTAATTTTTACGGATTTGATCACGCTTAATTTAACTTTTTAATTCCTGACGTTTCGGGTGCTTCACAGCACCCATGGTCGCGGTGAGGTCTTTGACGTCCAGATGTCATAATTAGCCTGGCTAAATTCAGTTTTTGAATATTAATTTTTGGTCCGATCTACGCAGAATGAGCTTACAGTATCTTTAAGTCTTGGAGTGACGACCTGGTAAGACATGCAGGAAGTCGATGGATGCAGGTGGCTCAGGACCGTGCTTTGTGGCATTCTTTGGGGGAGGCCTATGTTCAGCAGTGGACTTGTGAAGGGCTGTAATGATGATGATGATGATGATGATTACAGTGGTATGCTTGGGTTTGGATTTAATTTTATTAATTATAGGATGCCAAGCAGATGGCAGCACCTATCCATCTTCTCTATTGAAATTAGGATTTTTTTTAATTTCGATAGCCTAGCGAATCATCCTTGGTAGGAATCGGTGTTCTTTTGCGAGGATTTGTGGTTCAACTATGACATAGGGACGTTAAACACCTCAGTCCCCTCTGTGACCATGCATGCTGTAAAGCACCTGAAATATGGGGAATTAAAAAGTTAAATTAAACGCGATAAAATCCATAAAACTTAGTTTAATTTATCGTTTCTGTTTATTTTGGTTGTAATAAATTGTTAAATGGCACTGAATATTTGTGGCAGTAATTATTTTTCGTTTTTTATTGTTCAAAGTTATATGTTAAAAATTGTTCTGTAGTTTATTTCTAAAACCAGAAGATTATTTTCCGAATATAATTTTTTTTTCACAAAAATCGATTATTTTTTTATAAAAAAATCGATTTTTCTTAAATCGATTATTAACACAAAGCAAAAAATCGATTTTTTATTAATCGATTTTTTTCACTCAATGTCACATCCGTACTTATTATTATATAAGTAAACTTACAGTACATACATGTAAAGCATAGATAAATAAATATGTTGCAAGGCAAGATAATATAAACTAGGAATGTGAAAAAGTAATCGATTTTCATAATAATCGATTATTTTTTTCTTATGTTCGATATTTCAAAGTCGATTTTTTTATTATAATAATCGATTTTTGATAAATCGATTGTGTAAATAACGCGTTTTAATCGATTTTTGTAATCAGAGTCATCTGTACGATGGATGTAAAAACGTGAAGTAGATTCAATAACATGAATAAGTCGATCAAGTAAGTTCACTAACATGAACAAGACGGTCAAAAGACGGCGCCACCTTTATGTATCTCTATGTATGTAAAACAGTTTCGCCTTTCATATGTTTTCAACAGTTTTCTTTCTCCGCTAGGAGTAAAAGTATTCTGTGCTTTTCTTTCTTTCTTTGATTAGTGTAAACAATTATATATATACAATAAAAATGTAAACAAGTAAAACGCCACTTTTAACTAAAGGAAGAATTTTATAATGAAAAAATGATAGCGGTCAACACGTCAATAGGCAAAAATACTGAATTGGATGTATATATAGCGACACCACTATCAAACCTCAAAGCAGATGCCCTCAATATAAGGAGAAGCTCTGAAGGAACTTTCTCTAAACTAACCGAATTGGCTCTTAAACACCTCTCTGTGATGGCCAGTTCCAGGCCAGCCCAAAGATTATTTTTGAAAGCGGGAAATATTGTCAGGAAAAAATTTAACCGTATTTTAGGAAAGAGACGAAGAAGAATTATTGGTAAAATGATTGTTTTTAAACTCTTTAACTGAAAATTCATGACAATATTTTTTCCCCTTTTTTTGATCACACAAGTTTAAACAAAGGTTGTCGTTTGATTATTTATAATTATATTTTTATTTTATTTTCATTCTACTCCAATGTAAATGTTACTGAACATTAGTGGTAATAATTATTTATAGTTTTTTTGTTTAAACTTAAAGTTTAAAAAAGACATATTTTAGTTTTGTGTCCAAAATGTTGTCGTTTGACTATTTAAACTTATAGTTTTATTTTATTTTCATTGTAATCCAATGTAAATAGTACCGAACATTTGTGGCAATAATGATATTTAGACTTTTTCCCGACGTTTCGGGTGCTTCACAGCACCCATGGTCACGGTCGCCATTAGGACGTCAAACACCTCAGTCCCACGCGTGCTGTAAAGCTCCCGAAACGTCAGAAATTATAAAAATTAAATTAAACGCGATAAAATCCGTAAAAACTAGTTTCGTTTATCGTTTCTTTTTATTTTGGTTCTAATAAATTGTTAAATGGCAATGAACATTTGTGGCAGTAATTATTTTTAGTTTTTTATTGTTTGAAGTTAAAGGTTAAAAAAATTGTTCTGTAGTTTAGTTTTAAAACCAGAAGATTGTCGTTCTGATTATGTTTTATACTTATCATTTTATTTGATTTTTATTCTGATAAATTGTTGATACTTTACTCTCGTTCTTTTATTAATATATAGGAAACCAGGCATTTTTTCGAATAAAATAAATTATTTCACTAAAAAAGATTATTTTTTTAACAAAAATCGATTTTTTCTAAATCGATTAATATCACAAAGCAAGAAATCGATTTTTAGTAATCGATTTTTTTCACTCAATGTCCATCCTTAAGGTGGAAGCGCCAGGGTAGCCCGCGAAATTCAAACTTTCTTACGTTTTTTTGCAATTTGCAGGTCAGTGTCGGGTTGTATGTTTAACCAGGGCTCGGAAACCGGTTTAAATTCTGAACCAGTTTCGGTCATTGACCCCAAAACCAGTTTTTGCGGAATACCGGTTTGCACAAATTTAGGTTAAGGTAGTAAGAATTAACCGGTTAAAACCAAGTTTTGTAATGTCCCCTCTCTCCCTTACCTCGCTTGCACCCAACTTTGTACGGCTGCCCTCTGTCTAATTCACGAGGTTTTTAGACAGACACACGTACGATATATTCATTGCATTAACGCGACAGCCTTGTAACGTACTCCCTCATATTTTTTCATCTTACAGCAACGATCGTATTATAAATAACAGAAGATGAAAGTTCTGTTTCAATTAATTATGCGTTATCTTCACTTTAAAATTAAGTTTCGATATCAAGTTTAATTTGACCTTATATATTTAAAATGACTTTAATTATAAACATTTTCTATTAAAATTACGCTTTGCATCTTTAATTAAATGTCATTAGTTTAATAAAAAAATAAATGATGAGCTTTCTTAACAGAACACGATATTTTTAAAAGTTTATGAAATTATATGTAATAGTATTTGTCCTTTGTAGGACTAAAGTGAGGCAGATTACCAGATTTTTTTAAATTCAGAAGCGGACCACCCTCTATCTCAGTCTTTGCAAAATCAATAATGACTACTTCTAAGGTGTAAAGTTTTAACTAGAAGTTATGTAAAAGACAATTATTAAATGTGCAGCCAAGTTTTCTCACGCCTCAAGATCAAAATAATATAGTAATCACTTTCGAATTTTTTATAAACTTCCATACTTATACTTATACTTATACTTATCTTCACGCACAATCCCTGACGGGGTAGCCAGAGAGAACAGATCGCCAAGTGTCACGATCCTTACATACCTCTTTCGCTTCTTTCAGATTCATTATCTTCTTCATACATGCACGTCTAGGTATCCGAGTACTCTTGACCCTCCCCCCTTCGAGCAATTTGATCACATGGTCTTCGAAAGTTAGTCTCGGTCTACCTAGACACCTTTTAATATTAATTTTCTCGCTATATATTCTCTTCACCATTCGGTCTTCACTCATTTGCTCAACGTGCCCAAATCATCGAAGCACGCCCTTATCAATTTTCAACAACAAACTTTCAT